TATAGACGTTATCTTATACTATGTATTATTATATTATGTTATTTGTGAATAATACATATGGACGTTATCTTATACTATGTATCTTTATATTATGTTTTTTTTTTAACTTAGAACGTGTCTAATGATGTCCTATATGGACATTATTTTATACTATGTGTAATGATCGTTATTTACATCTCCGATATAGACGTTATTTTATACTATGTTATTACATATATAAAATGTTACAGATATCAGGGTAATCAAATCAACCGAAAACCATATAACATGTTTATATAAGTAACATTATATCAAGTTAATCAAATTAATGGAAAACTATATGTAATTATATAATATAAGTGTTTTCTTAATTTGATATCACCTAAAGTATTTTTTTTTATTCGAATATCACCTTAAACAATTTAGAGTGCTGTCCAAGTAAAACCATTATTAACTAATAATCCCAAAATACCATATATGGTACTATGATTATTCTCCAAGTATAGGTATTAATGACAAATATATCGTGTTTTCCTCATTTAATTTACTTGGAGTATTGTCCAAGTATACACATTAATTATTGTATACATTAATACAATAATATCGACATTAAATGGTTAATTTATATGAAAATACCTTTGTATATGGAAAGGTTTAGATTGACTAAATATTCCCAATTGGGACTATACAAAAATAACACGGTATTTGTTTTTCCTTCATCATTCTTATTGTCTCTTTCATCCACTAATACTATCAAGCACCTTTCAGACTTCTCCAATGGCCGCCTTTAACCTAGTTGCTGATCTGAAGCCATTCAAATCAATGTGGAAGATCAAAGTTAAGATCGTACGCCTTTGGAAGCAGATTACTGCTGGTGGTGGTTTAACCATAGAGATGGTTCTTATTGATGCTAACGTAAGCTTTTTTTTTTTTTGACATCAAACGGTTGTTCTATTACTCAAACGACTTGAGGTGGTCTGGGTAACCAGACCGGAACAGAACAACCAACGTACACAAGCTTACGATAAAATGACCTAGCTAACTTAGCTAAAGAATCAGAAGCGTCATTCTGAAGTCTAGGAACATAAGAGATCTTGAAGTCTGGAAAATAGATCTTCAGCGTCATCAATTTTTCCAACTCTGTTGAGAAGCTAGATATGTTTTTTATAAAACTCCATTTGATCGTGTAAATATGTTTGCTTATGACTATATATATATATTATTTTTTTTACTTAATATTAACATGTGTACATTTATATAGAGTGATAAGATTCATGCAACTGTGAAGAAATAGTTGGTTAACCGGTTTGATCACATTCTTGCTGAAGGCATAACGAAGATAATGATCAACTTCTCATTAAATCACTCATGTGGTTCCCACCGAACAACTAACCATCTCTACCAGATAAGTTTCCTTGAGACTACCCGTATAAGAAGCTGTGAGGATTTGCCCAGAGCTGTCAATGGGTTTCAACCTGTTAATTACCGGGAGATCCTTGACGGTACACTCAACCCAGATTTTTGGTTGGTAAGTAAATATTTTGGTCAGTTTTAATTCTGCAGATTTTTTTTCAGATTATAATATAATTCCCTTTGTGTAGATGTCATAGGATAGGTTGTGGAAGTAAGCCATGTTGATGTGATCTTGGTGAATGAGAAATATATCCAAAAGATAACTTTGGAACTACGTGATCTTGTGTAAGAGTGGATTGTCAAAAGTTAAATTTGTTTCTTATATTGATTCCTACATACACATTTAGGTATATGATTTATTCTGTTGTATTTCACCATTTAAACTCAATGTATTTTTTTTGTAGGAATATGCGTCTTCCACTTGTGTTGTGGGGAGACTTTGTTTCTGCTGTCAGTAATGCGATGCAAAGCCGTCTTGATGAAGCTCTAATTTGTGTGTTGAGGTTTGGGAAGATAAAGGTCTGGAAAGGTAAGAATATTTAGTTACATTTGTTTTGTACACTGCTACATATATGATATATCTTTTTTACTCATTCCAATGGACCTTTGTGCAGATGATCGTAGCATTTGAATGCTTAGAATGTATCAGATGTCAGTGTGAATCCCTACATGGCTGAGGTTGAAGAGTTTAAATCTTTGTAAGTTTTAAATGGATCGTCCGTAAATTATACATTGCCCGCACCATGTCTTTTACAAATTTATTTCCTACTGTTTTGATAGGTTACAAAAGGATGAAATATGTTTGGCAATCGTGGAACCAAAGGCAGTAGGTTAGGTCACTGGTGTTTCAGACAAGGATGATTTTTTTGTTCACATCCCCAGGAAAACCATTGCTGAGTTGTCCGAATCTAGAGAGGTATATATTATTAAGAAAGAGAATGATTTGGTTACATTATGGAAGGCAATATGTTAATTTCACAATACTAATTGATATTTGCATGATAGGTGGAGAAGTGTATTGTCATGTGCACAATTTCATCTAATATGGGCTGGTACTATTTAAGTTGCAAAGTGTGTTCTTAGAATAAATATATTTTTAAAAAAATTATGTTAAATAAAAGATGTTATTTTTAAAAACTATTAACAAAGGAAAATATTCATATCATATTATTATTAAACAGCAATAATTTATTACCAATAGTTACTTATCGAAAAAATATTTAATATTAATGTGATGCAAAATAGAACATTTTTTCATCAATACAAATAAAATTTAACATAATTTGTGCTTTAAATATGAATATCATATTAATAAATAATTCATATCTAAATTATTAATTTTTTATATACAATTTAGATAAATATATACTAAATACTAATATTTATTTTCATTAATCGTTTTCGTCAATTTCTTTGGTATGATCGGTTTATATACCAAACCATATCTATATACCCTGGTTTCATAATATTACCCAGTTCAAACCATTTCCTCTATTTCGATTTTTTTTTTGTTTTACTAGGTTTTATTTAACCGGATTGCACACCCAATTTATATACTACATCACTACTAATATATAATTTAAACATGTCAAATAGTTTTTTCATCCCGCGCAAAGCGTGGATTACTACCTAGTTTATATAATATTATATATGTCAATATAGTGTACGTGAAGTCCTGCTATCAATTCAAAGATCTTCCTATGTCAATTGTGGCATTGATTCAGTTAGTATATAAATGAGTTGATAAAAATATTTTCCTAATTCTTTTAACAACAAAAAACAATATTTTCCTAATTCCAATGATGTAAGGGTATAGTCAATCATACAATACTTGCTACAATGCAAAGATCATAATATTTCAAATTAGTGAACGTATAAAGATGCATATGGCACTGATATATACATGTATGCATTAATATTTGATGAATTAGTAAAGGAAATTCTTTTTCAAAACCAATTCATAACTTTATTTTTAGACAATTTGTCTTGATTACAAAATAATGACTCTTAGACTGAAGATGTTTAAATTAGGCTTTTAAAGTTTTCAATGATTAAACTCATAATTAATGTATTTAAACCTGAACCAGATATTAAACTGGTAAATTTCTGGGTCACTAGGTTATTTGGTCGACTGCAGGCAAACCTTTGCTTAATAAATTGACTAATTTTAATATATAACTATATATTAGCTACTAAAAATATAAGAAAAATTTCAAATTTATTAAAAAAATAGATAAATATTTTTTTATTAACTTTAAAAATAATTTTTTATCATCTCCTTAAGTTTTTGAAAACAAATTAGGAGTTATGGCATATAATAAAACATAACAAAATTTAAATCACATAAGTGTTAGATATCTTATGTAACTGATTAAATAAATTTTAAATAAAAATAAACTAAAAGTATACATCAAACTGTAATAAATTTTCAATAAAAAAAATTAATACCTAATCACATTAATTTTTTTCTTCTTTCTATCGTCATTCATTATATCTTCTTCATATACCATAATAAAATTTATATCAAAATTAAATATCATAATAAAATAGTTTAGTCGATATTACATATGATTTTACAAAATTAAATATATGACTAATAAATTTGGTTCACAATTTATGTAGAAACATGTAAAATCAAGCAAACAAGATAAAAGCAACTAATTCACAAAATAATAAAAAAATAATTAATATAATATAAGTTAGAACACATAAGTCTATAATAAATGCTATTCACGATGAAAAATAATAAGAAAAAAAATAAAAATAAAATTAAAGTAGATACATAGTATATGTGACCGTAACGGAAACGATAATTTCAGAAGATAACTAAAAATTTAAAAAGTAAAAACTACCTTTTTATTTGGAATAAAAATGTATTTAATAAATAATTAAAATCTAAAATTAAATAAATTATTCACTGATTCATCCGATGGTTCAACTGGTAATTGGGCATAAGAGTTTTTAATAGATAATTTTTAAAACTCAAACCAGATTATTTAGCATGTCACCGGATTTATCATTGAGGTTCAATTTGGGCGTAATAACATTGTAATCATAACCCAATTTATAAACGGTTGGATCATGTACTATAGATATGATGTTGAAAACCCATCATGCTTTCTATACAATCTCGGTATTCAACGATAGAAAGAACACATATTTCTTTTGTAATTTGTACCAGGGGCGAAGCCAGGAAGTTTTTACAATGGGTGTACTAGAGTCAATAATATATTAAATAAAATGTTTAAAAATGCATTATATTATATATGACAGAAACAAAAAGTTAGATGTTATTTAAAATTTTAAATAATTGCAGAAACAACTTATAACACTGATACAAAGAATATTAAATTAGTTACCAGTTTTGTATGGTAGACAAGAGAAGAAAATTATGTCCAAATGATGATTTGCAATTACCGATTTTAAAAGAAACTCTGTTGATTAAAAGAAGTTAACGATAGTTATGTTTTAACAAAAAAGTAAAGAAAAAATAATTGGGTTTTGGAGTTAATTTTAATTTTCAATTGGTTAAGTTGTTTTTCCTTTGTTTCTTATTTTCCATTAGGCTTAATGCAAAATTAAATGGGTGCACAATCATATATTATAGTGGATGCACATTTAAAATTTTTTAATAATTACATTAATTTATCAATTAAGTTTTTTATGGGTGCATGTGTTCCCTTTCTTAACTATGCGGCTTCGCCCCTGATTTGTACTGCAGGTTTTAATTGTCAACTTTTGAAATTTTTTTATTATTTTGTAAGTTACAAACTACATTTGATGGAAAATTAAATTATTTTGATAATATGATATTAATTTCATTTCATGCAAGGGATGGATCTTAATCTAGTATTGTATTATTTGTGAATTCACGAGAGAAGGCAACATCGTTCAGCCCATTCGAGGAGAGAACTATGAGACGACCCACCATGAGTCCAAGCTCGTTCGGAGCTAACCCTCACTTCCTCAGCTTTAGCCCTTACCTTCCGTGCTTCTTCATTCTCGTCGGCCATAATCTTTCTCACCAAAGACGCCACTTCTTCTCGGCCGATCACTCTCTTTGACGGTAATTCCATGGTACGAACGGCTACACCGATCTCCTCAGTCAATAACGTAGCATTCATCCATTGCTCCGCATAAAGAGGCCAGGCCACTATTGGAACTCCTTTAGTTAAACTCTCTAATACAGAGCTCCAGCCGCAATGAGACAAGAACCCACCGATCGCTTCATGGCTCAAGATCTCAACTTGTGGTGCCCATTGCGTGACCACAAGACCTATACCACGTGTGCGATCGAGGAAACCTTCCGGTAGACCATCACTTACCAGATCATCATTGTTCGAGCTTTCACCTAGGTAAGAAGTGGGTCTACGCAGAACCCACAAGAAACTTTGACCACTCATCTCTAAACCACATGCGAGTTCCGTTGTTTGTTTTAAAGATAGTGTTCCACCGCTGCCTAAACACACATATAGCACTGACCTTACCCGTTGTTTGTTTAACCACTCGAAAATACTATTAGGCTTTTTAGTAGGCCTGTTAGATCTAATAATTGGTCCAATAGAATAAACTGGTACTTTCATAACCTGGCTCATTTCTCTATCCTCCCTAAGTGCAGCTAGAGTATTTCCTTGTAAATCTTCCCAAGTATTCACCAAAACACCATCGCTTATAGGTATCTCCTCGCCACACCGTACACACTCTTCATAGTGTCGGTTCGACCGGTCTAACATTGTTTCCATAAGGTCATCTGCTCCTACCGGTTTACAGCCTGGTATTTTCATAGGCTCTTTGATATCAATGTATTCCCCTTCCACAACCCTATCCAATATGGGCAAGTACACCATCACTGCCAAGAACCACGCGTGGGAAGCGACGTACACGTACTTAGCCATGCCGACATCATCAGCAATGGACATCATTACGGTACCAAGAAAGTCAACGATCATGACCGTTGGTTTTTGTGTCATTGATTTGATGGCGTCTTCAACCACGGGCTTTGTGGCTCGCATCTTTTCTATGATTCTAGTGAAAACTGTCGCATCTGGCTCCACGAAGTGGTCTATACCAACCGAAGGTAATTCTGTAACTTCACATGTCCCTCTAGCCACAACTTCCCGTATGGCCCCCGTTTCGGTCAGGGAGGAGGAACCGGAGGTTACTGCAAGAACTGTAACGCGGATGTTGAGGACAGAGGAGAGACGGTTACCAAGTTCGAGGATAGGGATGAGATGGCCTAAGCCAGGGCTAGCGACTAGAAGCACGTGCGGCCGCTCCATGATCTAATCATTAGATAGTTTAGTTAAAATGATTACGAAAATCGAGAGAAAGCGTTATACGAAAAGGGTGTTAATTACGTGAGAGATCCTTGCGGATGTACGGACTAACCTTTCCTTATATCAGAAGTTGTTTCTTGCTTGTCAATGGCGGTGCATGAACTGGGATATGACCATAAGACTATCTATATACGGGGCTCATATGAGATATAGAGTATTTATTACTGATATTTTTTTTTTTTGAAACACTACTGATTTTATTTAGAATTTGTTATTTTAAGAGGCAACTGCTATACTATCCCTAATATAATTGAGAAACATTATAACATGTTTTGGTAGTTACGTATCATTATGAGAATACTTCTCAAATTTACTAGAAAAATGTTATTCTATATAAATATACAATATATTTTTTATTAAACTATGCATAAAATTATTATTGCTATTCATTATTTCTTTAAATAAAACTTTCAAAATTAACTAATATGGTTATGATATATATATCATAATTAATGATTTTAATAAAAATATATAGCCTCTGTTCTTTTTGTTAAATTTATAGTATAAAAATAAATTAAATAATATTAACTATATAACAAAAAATTAGATTTTTTCATATATGTTATATTTTAAATTTTTAAAAACAAATATTAATTAATAAAAAATTCAAAAGTTTCACATATAATATTTTTGATTAATAGTTTAACATTTTTTATATCATGATACAAAAATTTATATAATGAATGAGTAAGAATTATTATTTAATAGATATTCAAATTAGATGTATATATATATATATATATAGTGATGTTTAAATTAAACTATATACCATCTAAAAATACATAAGTATTTAATACCAAAATTGCATTGAACTTAATACTTTAATGACAAACTTAAATGTTTTTTTAAACGATGATGAATTACTGTAGATATTAAATTTCTCACATTAAAAATGATGTTAACAATGATTTAATTTTTTTTTATAAAAATATACAAATGATCATAAAACCATGTCGGTGTGAAGCTTTATTTATCAGCTAACCAAATTAAAATTATAATACATATATATATGTGTGTTAATATCATTTATTAATTAGATTTACTTATATAAAATGATTGTAAATAAAAATCTGAATACTTTATTTAAGCGTTCGCGTTAAATTAGTTTTATATAGACGAGTTACAGATTTTTCAGTCATGAAAATGCTTCTCAAATTTACTAGAAAAATATTAGTCCATATAAATATATAATACTTTTTATTAAACTAAGCATAAAACTATTCATTATTTTCATAAATAAAATTTACGGAATTACCTAATATGTTTATGATATATATATATCATAATTAATAATTAGAATAAGAAAAATATAGCCTCTGTTCTTTTTTTGTTAAATTTATATTATGAAAATAAATTAAACAAAAATATTAATTATATAACAAAAAAATTAGATTTTTTCATATATGTTATATTTTGAATTTTTAAAAACAACTATTAATCAATATAAATTGTGAAGCTTCATTTATTTGCTAATCAAATTTTAATTTTATATATATATATATGTGTGTGTGTGTTAATATTATTTATTAATTAGAATTACTTATATAAAATGATTGTAAATACAAATATAGTTATTTTATTTAAATGTTCGCGTTAAATTATTTTTATATAAAAGAGTTACAGATTTCTCAATTATTCAATATATATATTTATTATTATATAATATATAAAAGAATACAAAACAAAAAAATTATACATAAAATAATTTCTATATATATATCTCATCCTTGCAAAGGTATTAACCTAATCTATATCTTAAAATGCAAAACCGTGGATTGAATTCGATATGGGTTACTGACCAAATGACATGCATGTTAATTATTACGCACAAGACCCAACGTTATGTTAAAGAGACCTGAAACTGACGGCCATACCGACTTTTGGACTGAAGCTTAACTTTGTAGACAAAAAAATAAAATAAAACATAAAGTCTACGCGTTCCCATGTTTCCAGATTTGTCCAGAGCAAGAAGGAAACAAAAAAAGACTCCATCACGCAATTTATACTCTTTCGTTCACATAAGCAAGTGGGTGAGGATCACAGCGCATGCAGCCCTGCATACATGTCTTCCCACAAAGTGACTCGTGTTTCCAGCAGATCAACGCACCCCCACAAAACAAGGACCATTCATTTAAGTTTTTTTTTTCTGTTTATTATTAAATAATTATGATGATTATCCAATATAAGGATAATGTTTATCTTTTAGTTTTGTCTTTTTGTTTTATGTCAGATAAACAAACCGACTTATGCTTGCTATAAATATAGTTTTTCGTACATTTGTAAGATATATAGAAGTACAAGAAACACACTTTCATTTCTTCATCTCCCATTCAATTACACACATACAACATTAAATATTTCTTTATCTAATAAATATTCAACGTGTTATCAGCACAAAGCTTTAATCATAAATCAAACAAGATTATACCGGTGAGAAAGAATGTCAAACTTTGAGATTATAGATGGAGATATGTGTTTGGTAGATAGTGCTACGATGCACACGATAATCAAAGATAAGAAATATTTCTCCAGTCTCAAAATAAAAGATTACGCTGAAAGCGTAAGTACAATATCTGGTAATGCAAAGATTATAATGGATTCTGGAAGAGTGAAATTATCAATGCCAAGGAGGACGATATTTGAAATAAGTGCATTATACTCCTCCGAGTCTAATAGAAACTTGTTAAGTTTCAAGGATATCCGAAGAAATGGATGCCATATTGAAACTATGTGTAAAGATGGCATTGAATTTCTTTGCATTAAGTCCGAGAGGAAACATATATTGGAAGAATTAAAAATGTTATCCTCTGGACTATATTGTACAAGAGTACACATGATTGAGTCCTATGCTATGGTAAACATGAAGTTTACTGATACATTTAAAATCTGGCATGAGAGGTTAGGACATCTTTGTTCAGGCATGATGAAAAAAATAGTGCAAAATTCAAATGGCCATCCATTGAAAAACGGAAGAATTTTGCAGACGGGCGAGTTTACATGTAAAGCATGTTCTCAGGAAAACTTATAACTCGGCCATCACCAGCAAAAATAGGCAATGAATCACCAATGTTTTTAGAAAGAATACATGGTGATATATGTGGGCCGATCCACCCACTGTGCGGACCGTTTAAGTATTTCATGGTATTGATTGACGCATCTAGTAGATGGTCAAATGTGTATCTTTTGACAACACGAAATATGGCTTTCGTAAAGTTCATTGCCCAAATAATAAGGGTAAGAACGCAGTTCTCATGATATGCCATTAAGAAAGTAAGGCTTGATAATGCTGGTAAATTTACATCGCAAGCCTTTAATGATTATTGTATGTCAGTGGGGATTGATGTAGAACATTCAGTGCCCCATGTTCATACACAGAATGGCATGGCCGAGTCATTAATAAAGCGGTTGCAGTTGATTGCAAGGCCGTTGATCTTGAGGACAAAGCTCCCAATGGGGTTATGATATTTTACATGCGGATGCACTAATTCGGCTAAGACCGAGTGCATATCATAAGTATTCCCCATTACAATTGGCGTCTGGGCATGAGCCAGATGTATCCCATCTTCGTGTCTTTGGGTGTGCGGTCTATGTTCCAATAGCTCCCTCACAAAGAACAAAAATGGGCCCACAAAGGAGATTGGGAGTATATGTGGGTTATGTGTCACCAAGTATAATAAGATATCTGGAACCAGTAACTGGTGATATGTTTACGACATGATTTGCCGATTGTCATTTTAATGAAGACGAATTTCCAGCGTTAAGGGGAGAAATTAGAGAAATTCCTAAAGAGATTACTTGGTGTACACCATCGTTGTTACACCTTGATCCTCCTACAAATCAAAGAGAGCTGGAAGTTTAGAAAATTGTGCATTTACATAATTTGGCAAACCAGTTACCAGATGCGTTTACAGATACGAGAAGGGTGACAAAATCAGATATACCCGCTGAAAATGTCCCATCAAGAGTTGTTGTTCCTAAAGAACACACTGATGGAGATACAATAAATGAGCCTAGGGCTCAGTTAAAGAGGGGGAGACCTGTGGGTTCTAAAGATAAAACTCCGAATGAAAAAGAAATGGGTTGAGCAAAAAGGGAATGTTCTAGAAGAACCTGATACTGAAAGATGTCTGAAAGAAGGCATAGATGAAAAGGTTCAAGAAGAACCAAATAAAGATAATGATCCAGATGACGAGGAGGGAACATAGAAGTATGAGATTTCCATCAACTACGCCCAAGATGAAAAGTTATGGATCAGAAATAAGATAAAAGATGTTGATGGAATATTCTCCTTTTCTGTGTCCAAAGAAATAGATCACGAAAGTGATGATCCTGATCCAAGGTCCATTTTAGAATGTATGAAAAGAGATGATTGCGAGGAGTGGAAGAAGGCCATTGAAATTGAATTACTCTCCCTAAATAAAAGGAATGTCTTTGGACTTATAGTCACAACACCTGAGAATATAAATCCTATTGGGTATAAATGGGTATTCGTGAGAAAAGTAAATGAATAGAATGAAGTAACACGATATAAAGCCTGATTCGTTGCCCAAGGTTTTTCTCATAGACCGGGAATTGTTTTTGAGGAAACATATTCCCCAGTAATGGATTACATTTAGATTTTTGATGAGCCTTACGGCATCAAAGAATCTTTAAATGCATCTTATGGACGTTGTGACTGCATACTTGTATGGATCATTGGATAATGATATATACATGAAATTCCCTGAAGGAATGAAAATGCCAGAGGCATTGAAAGAGAAACTCAGGGAGATTTGTTCGGTCAAGTTACAGCGATCACTCTACTGATTAAAGCAGTCCGGACGCATGTGGTACAATCGCTTAAGTAAATATCTCTTGAGAAAAGGATATGTGAATAATGCGATATGTCCATGCGTTTTTATAAAGAAATCGTCATCTGGCTTTGTGATCATTGCTGTATATGTTCATGACCTGAACATTATTGAAACTCAAAAAGAGGTTGATGATGCACGAACTCATATGAAAGAAGAGTTCGAAATGAAAGATCTCGGAAAGACAAAGTTTTTTCTTGGGCTCCAGATAGAGCATCTTCGAGAAGGTATATTTGTGCATCAATCAAATTATACGAAAAGGT